TGTGCATTGTATTGGGTATTGATTTGGATAATTTGGTGGGATAGTGTCAGTTTCAAATGACTTTTTTATGCCCATGTAACAATATTTTTCCTGGGGCAAAATTTCAAGAGAAAGTGAATCTCTTTAATTAACTCAGTAAAAGTAGAAGTCCTTTGGGAAATGATTGTTTTTAATGGCTTCCTGTGAGCAATGCAATACTTGCATTAGATGTCTGGGACTCTGAGATAGACAAATAAATACCTCCAATTTGTCAGTCTGAATAATTGAAGCACAAAGGATGGGGTGATCATCTTCTGAGCATCCTATTTGACCATCTTCTCTGAGCATTCTAAGTGGTAACTGACTAATCCACAAGATTCCTACCATAATTTCCAGGCAGGTAGGATATAGTTTTAGAGAAAGTGAGGCTGGGTATTGCAAAACCAGAATTTGGGAAATCTAAATTCCAAGGCAATATAGAAAAGATGCAATAAGAAGGTTCTCCTTGATAAAAGCCAAGAAAAGAGATAAATAGACATGCTGAGATGTCAAGCTAGTCTTTAATGATAATCAGACATCTCCTGAATAAAAACTGTTGCTAAGAAGGGTAAGAAGCAGATATATAAGTAATTTCTAAAAAGCCACAGTGCTCTTTTCTTCCAAAAGTAGTGTGATAAACATGCTTTGGTGTTTCATATGCTTGACATTACAGTATTTACACAGTCCTTGCTTCCTTTTTTCCATGCAAAACTACTACTTTTGCTTTGCTTTAACACAGAGTATTTGCTTTAGCAGAAATGCCAGCCTGGACATAGTACCTAGAATATTGGAATTATTATAATGATTCAGGTCATAACAGAAAAAAAATCCAATGGTTTGTTCCATTCTTGTAGATCTCACAAAGAAAATAACAAGATTCTCCAAAATAAGGTTAGCTCAGAAAAGGAAGCAATGTCAGGAAAAAATTAGAGCCATTTGGACAATATGGGCCAGATTTTCCTGTCTGATATCTTCCAGAGGTGTTGGAGTCAGACCTACATCTCTCAGATTTTGATGGGAACTGTGACACCAGCACATCTGGAAGGCAACCAGTATAAGAAGGATGATAAGAGAGTTCTCTCTTGCTCTGTCCCTTCCCAAGCACTGATTCACAACACAGGATCCTTCTAGCTGAGGAAATGAAAGGAGAAGACGAAAACATCACTCACGGTTATTTAGTTAGAAGCCCATTGCCATGATTCATCTCATAGGTTATGGGAAAAAGGGACTACCTAGCCTGCATGTTCCCAATCAATTGTGTCTAATGTAGAAAGCTTTTGAATCTACCTCCTCAATGTCAAATTCTCTGGCCATAATACTCTAGATAAAAAGTTCATTTTGGTATCACATTCTGTCACTAGATGAGGACTAGATGAGATTGCTATTGCATTTCCTCCCATTCTTTCCTTTAACTGGTTCAGAACCAGTGGGTGGAAATCCAATACATTTTACTTCCTTCTTTGAAAAACAAATGTTATCCTTGATAGTTTGAAGCAGTACCTTTGGATTTATT